GGGGGGGGGGGGGTAGTTGGTCTGACTCAGTGAGCAAGCTGCCAGAGGGAGAGCTCAGGGGGATGGCTGCGCCCACAGCCTGCTCACAGGCTCCTGGAGGCTCAAAGTGGCTTGGACTCCCTAGTCCCTGGTGTTCAGGGTCTCCTTCCAGAGGCTGGGTGAGGCATGGTCCAATGACAGTGAGGGTGCTTGTCAACAGGGAAGGGAAGAAAACCCACAGGAAGGTGAGGTCACTGTTACAGGACACTTGCATCCTAGTACCACCTTGGGCCACCCTGGGGCCTTGTGTGGGTAGCAGCCCAGGGAGGGCATCTGCCACCTTGGATGCTGGGCATGGCCTGGGTGGACATCTCTGGAATGGGCGGGGCAGGACCATGGGGATGTAGAAAAGCTGTGCTCCACTGTGGGCAGGGGTCTCCAGCATGGGGAGGGGCAGCCAGCCCCTTTCTCTCTCTCCGTGGGGCAGTCTCACTGGGAGGAAGGACTCCAACAAGGCACAGGCTGGTGGAAATGGAGGAAACGAGCGACAGGGAATGGGACATCTCTGACTTGGAGCGTTAAATGTACCCAGTGGAGGGCACTGCCTTCCAGGCAGGGAGAGCTCCTGGCCTGGAGATTCCAGGTTTAAATCTAGCCTGTGACCAAGAGCAATAGTTTGAAGTTCCAGAAAACCTCCTCTGTTCTGTGAGGACTGCAGGACAGGCACAGCTTAACCCCGGGGACTGGAAGGCAGGTGACCCTGCCCCCAGCCCACGCTCAGGGAAGGGATGTAGTGGGATGCGAGAGACGGGGGTGGCAAACAGAACTGGGGTTGGTCTGGGCTGTGAGATCCCCAGACTCTCCCCTCCTCACCCCTCCTGGCTCACCCCTGCATGCTCGGCAGGCTCAGGAATGCAGCGAGGCTGGCTGTCCTAACTGCAGCAGCTGTGGCTCGTGTCAAAAATAGAACAGGGAACAGCCTGGCTGCCTGCTAGATCTGGCTTGCTTCTGAAAAGACAAGAAAGAAAAAAAAAGAAAATTCCCTGAACCAAGCAACTGAGAAACTCCACCTTTTCTCTGCACTCTCCCCTCTGGTTTGCACATCTTCAGAAGAGGACCCCCAGCCTCCCCCAGCACTGACCCAGCTCCTGAGAAAGGCTGCTCTCTGGATTCTTTACAGTCTGGGCCCCTTTGGAGCTGCGGGGAGGGAGGACAGCTGATGGCCAGGGGCTGTTCACAGGCTGTGTGTGCCTCTTTATTCTCCCTGCCTGGGGTTCTGGGGGCTCCTCCTGACAGAATTTAGCACTGAAGATGCTCAAGTGTGCACAGATCACATGTGCACCATTGTAGCGGATATAGGTTACTCTGGATCTAGGCAAAAGCTTTGTTCTTGGGAAGAAAAAACATTCTAGAGTAACTGCTGGCTGACTTTGACCCAGGCCAGCAAATCCATGCCTCTAGTCCTTGCTGAAAAGATCAGGAGGCTCCCCCTGGGAGAGCTGTAAAGCCACACCCTCTGCGACATGGAGGACACCTGCAATCTTTCCTTCCCAGCACCGACCCCTGGGGCTTGGAGTCTGTGGCTTTAAGAAGAGTGGCCACTGAGGTAGAAGGCCACCAGTTGTCCAGAGGTTGCTCAGCTTCAGTTAGCAGAAAACAGCAGGCAGACACTGGCCCCCAAACCTGGCCATTGCCTGCCAATGCTTCTACTACATAGCTTCTCCCTCTGCCCTCCCCTGGGTCTTGTGGGATCTTGACACCGCATGGCTTCCCAGCCCTAATGTTGCTAGGCCAGGGTCTCATGCCCCACTCCAAGCCCTGCAGCTTGCTGGTGGCTGGAGGAGGAAAGAACCAAGTTTACAACAGGGCCACGTTCCAAGGCTGCTGGTCACAAATGGCTTCTTTCTATTCCAAAGGCAACCCAATGTGTCCAGGGGTAAGAAGGTTTAGGGATGTCAAAGGTAAGAGGGCTTCTGTCCTCGTGTGGCCATTTGAACTTCACACAGTCACCTCCTTCCCTGGGGTCCCTAAACGTTTTGAACAAACGCCAAGGTTTAGGGAGCCCTTCACCAACGCATGGAGATCACAGATCCAACTCTTGGGAAAGCCAGAGGCGGCAGCCTGAGGTCCTGTGGGCTGCAGGGTTGCTGAGCACTGGGACATGGGAAAGGGAGGAAGGCCGTCTTGCAAGCCGTGCCCTCCACTCCAGGCTCCTGGGTCCGTGCCCCAGGGGTTGTTCTCTCAGGGGGGCTAAAGTGCTGAGCAAGGGAGCCGGGGAGGAAAGCCGCCCCTGGGCACCCCTGCCTGCCAGCGCCAGGTCCCCAGCCCTTCCCCCCTGGCCAGGCCCTCAGATCTCAGTGGCTATGATGTCCTCGTAGGGGATGTCACCCCCGCCCAGGTCAATCTCGAAAGGCTCCCCCGCACCATCCCCACGGGCCAGCTGCTGCAGGGCCTTCTCCAGGCGCTGGTTCCGCTGGTACATGGCCAGGTAGCTCTGCTGCAGCTGCTTCTGATACTGGATCACCTTCTCTTTCTCCTCCCTCCACACCAGCCGCTCATGCTGGAAGCCCGAGGACATCTGGTCGTGGCCCTGGCGTTCCTCCCTCAGCTCAGCCCGCAGCCGCTCCAACTCCCGCTGCAGGGCAGGGATGTCCTCAGAGAAGGCGAGCCCTGGCCCCAGGGACACCGGCCCCAGGGACGCGCCTTCCCGCTGCAGGGCGGCCTGGGCCCGCAGCTCCCGCAGCTCCTGCTCCAGCAGGTTCACCTTCTCTCGCAGCAGCTCCGACTCGTTCTTCTTCCGCTGCAGCTCATTCTCGCAGACCTCCAGCTCCAGACCCTTGGTGCGCAGGGCGCTCTCCAGCTCCTGCGTCTTGAGCTCCATGCCCTCCAGCTTGCCCCGTGTGTCCTTCAACTGTGCCTTCAGACTGAGGATCTCACTGGCTTTGGCGTTCACCTCCGTCTGGGACTCCTTGAGCTGCTGCTTTAGGAGAGAGATCTCGCCTGACTTCTGACACACCTGGTGGTAGAAGGGAGCAGGAAGAGAATGCCAAGAGATCAGTGTCCTCGCCACGGGGAAGTAGCACCTCCACCACCTAAAAGAATGAAGCTTCTCAGACCTGGTGCCTGGGACCATTCACAAGGACCAAGCCCTTTGGGGAGGCTCTTTTCATTCGCGTCTGGCTTGGTCTATCCACATGCCTGTCTCACCCCTAATTCAGAGGCCAAGCTCATGGCTACATGTGAATCAGTGCTCCGTGGCTGCACCTGCCTGCTGCCCACAGCTCCGCCACCCACACTTAGTGCCAATGGTGCTGGTTTCTGTGGCAGCCAGATTTCCGCCACCCATCTTCATGCCCATACTCTCTCCATCTTCATGCCCACACTCTCTCCTCGCCACTGGGGTAAAGACTATGTCACGCATCCATTGCTGCACCCTGGCGACTGGTGCCACACCTGGCTCAGAGAGAGTGCACAAAATGCATCTGCCACATGATGAATGATTGCATTCTTCCCCTGCCCCACTCCTCCACCATTTCTGGTCCTACTCATAAAAATGCGGCGAAGAGGCTGGCTGGTTAGCTCGGTTGGTTAGAGCACAGTGTTATAACACCGAGGTCATGGGTTCAGATCCCCATGCCGGCCAGCCACCAGGGGGGAAAAAAACTGGCCAAAAGCAATGATGAAAACCAAAGCCACTGAATCAGACCCATGTGTCTCTGGGGTCATGGGCGGCTCAACAGATGACCGAGACCAGTCTGGCTGGCTGTGTCTCAAGGATGAGTGAATGTCAGAGCCCAGGGCTCTACAGAATGGATTCCTGGAACGAGACTGGAGGTTACTTGAATATTTGCTCACTTCCCCTCCCACAGTAGAAACTCCCTGGCTCTCAATGAAACATAGCATAGTCCTAGTGAAGATCCAGCTCTGCCCAGTGCTTAGTTGGGACCGAGAATGTCTTGGGCCAAGCCAGTATTTGTTTTGTGGAGGAAGAAACACAGAGCCACAGATGAGGTGTGGGCCTGGCTTTGAATTCTGGCTCCAGCACTTAGGGTCTGAGCTGTCCTGGATATGTTAGCGCAGTGGCAATACCACACAGTGATTAAAAATGTGAGCTCTGGGGCAAAACTGTTAGGATCAAATCCTGGCTCTA